ATATTAATAACAGTCACTTCAAACAGTCGTTTCTAGTTGCTAAGATTATAGGTAACTTTAATTTTTGTCTCTGTTCATATTTATTTTCTTAAATTTACAATGAACTGCAGAACTAGCCGTAAGAAAAGATGTTACTTTGAGATCCTGTTGCAGGGAACTTAATCGAGTGTACATTCAACAAAGAACGACTGGATTTTCCTACTTCTGGCCTTTAACAAACGCTGCCCCGGCACCACGACCTCATGCAGGGCACGCCCGTAGATCAGACCCCTTCTTGCCATCTGGAGACGGGGTTGGGCAGGGAGTTTTGCAGACTATTTTGAACAGGCAACAAAGGTTTGTATGAGCCATTTTCCCTTTAACTATCTTGATAACTGTACAGAGGCCGCATGGCGTGTAGGAAATATTCGAGACTGAATTCGAAGGGCACCCTGCCACTGAACGTGGAGGCCTGAGACTCATGAACTTCTCTGAGCCTCGGAAACGAGGACCCCTCTTTTAGAGAAATACGGCTGCCAAAGATCAGCAGACTGAAGAAATGTGTTATTAATGTTTGGGGGAGAATTTAAATTGTTAAAATTCTTACTTGTCCACCGCTAGATTTCTTACTAGTAGGACTTTTTCCTTTCCTAATATATCTGTGGATCTGCACAGTGCTGAGGTTTTTTTTTTTAACTATATTCTTTTTTTTTAAAGATTTTATTTATTTAATCTTTAAAGGGGAAGGGAAGGAGAGGGAGAGAAACATCAATGTATGGTTGCCTTTCATGCGTCCCCGGCTGGGAACTGGCCTGCAGGGAACCGGCCTGCAACCCAGGTATGTGCCCTGACTGGGAATCGAACCACGATTGTCTGGTTCGCAGGCCTGTGCTCAGTCCACTGAGCTACAAACAGCCAGGGCTTGTGCTTAGGTTTTAAGAACAGTAATTTTAAAGTGCTAGCAGTTTGGATTTAATGACTTTATTGGAAGTTCTTGTTTCATGGTTCTTTGAAGTTATTTTATATATTAAAGTAAATAATCCTTTTAAAAGGATAAAAATTGACCAAGAGAGATATAGAGACTCCTGATTTTGAGGTTTCATTTACTGTATATCATTCTCAGTTTAGTACTTTTTTTGTCACTAGAAAATGTAGGCAATAGATGTGATAATGCCACACTTCAGATACGCCGTGTGTTCCTTGCATTTTGCCAAGTGTCTGGTGTTCTGATCTCTGATTAAAGTTGCTGTGTAGGCACAATGTACTCAGTCCTGGGAGTGTGCCTCTCCCAGTGATTTTTCAAAATGAAAAATGAATTGATACATTATATATAGTTGGTGATACTGGGTGTAGAAGACCAATTGAAAGTTATAATACACATATGTATAAAATAGGACATGTTTTTTCCATTAGTTCTTAACCATCAAGAATACTAAAAGTTATGCAGATTAACATAAAAGAAAAATATAAAAAAAGAAAACAAGAACTTTTCATCAAGTCAGTGACTCACAAGCTTACCCCAAATCTCCTTATTGTTTGGTTGTTTGGACTGAGACATTTTAGTGTTGGACTGTTTAGTGTTAGGGTCTCTCGTAACTGAGTTTAGGTGACGGCCTCGTGCGTCCTCACGAAGCTTCTCAGGCGGTGCCCCCGGAGCGCGGGGCTAGGAGTTTTAGACCGGGCCGCACCAGCGTTCTGAGACGTGCCCGCCGAAGCCCTGCTTTTCACAATCCCAGGGAGTCGGCCTTCGGAGCAGCACTGTCCCTTAGGAAGCAGGCCATACCGAACAAGCTGAGGGCTTTCTGGGCCTTGCCGATTCCTACTCTCCACTGTTCCGGCGCTTTCCCGCTGCCAGGAACCGGTTCTCTTCCTTTCCTGGAGGTCGTTACTCCCCACTAGAGGTCACTCACTGTTAGGAGCTGCAGCGTTATCAGCGGATCAGTGTTCCCTGCCAGCTGTCTTCAGTACGGCAGAGGAAACGGCAGAGGACTGGGCCCAGTCTTGGGAGGGCAGTGATTGTTATTTTGAGGCGCTTACGTCATACAGTTAGTAAGTAGCTGATGTGAGTTTCAAACTCAGGCTCTCCAGCTCCGGATACATCCTAGATGGAGTAGCCACTCTTTTAACAGCCTCTGACTGTGGAACCGCCGCCTCTGGAGCATGCTGTCCACTCCTGGAAGTAGCCTTCCAGCAGAGTCCGACGTCACCACGTCTCCCTCCTGCACCCCCACCTCCGAAAGCAGCCTTCAGTCTGCGTGGCTTTCGCATCGTTCACCGGGGAGCAGACTCCCCTCTGTGAATCTTGAAAGATATGAGTTCCCTGTCCACACTCACACATTAGTGCCCCTAACTCTACTTGTGGAATGGTTTTTACTACTCATTTCCTTTGGTGAACACCAGGGCATCTACCTGAGCCCTTGTAAGTGGTTGGGCCATGAGCTTTTCCACAGCCTCTCACTCTCCTGGTTCCTCGAAGCATCCAGACACACGACTCCAAAGAAGACCTTACATCTTTCCTCTTTTTGTATGGGGAGGGTGGGCACCTAATTTAGACTCAACAGGATTTTTGTCAAAATCTTTAGGCCACCATACAACACAGCAGTTGCTCCTGGTTGTTTGTCCCAGAGAAACAAAGACTTACATTCACATAAAAATGTGTACCTAAATGTTTAAAAGCTTTATCATAGTCAGAAAAACTGGAGTCAGCCAGATGTCCTTCAGTGGGTGAACAGTTCAAGGATCTGTGGTACCTCTGTATCATGGAAAAGTACTTAGCAACAAAAAGAAACAAACTATTGATATAAACAACCTGCATAAATCTCAAGAGAATTATATGGAGTGGAAAAATAGAAAGCAACCCTGAAAGTTATGCACCGTTTGGTTCCATTTACATGTTTGAATTGACAGTGTCACAGAAATGGAAGACAGAGTAGTGTTTCCAGGGAATGGAGGCGGGGCAGGAGGGAAGTGGGCGTGGCTGTAGAAGGCCCGTGTGAGAGGTCTTCCTGGTGATGGCAGTGTTCCCTGTCTTGACTATATCAGTGTCAGTGTCTTGGTTGTGGTCTCGTATTGTAGTTTTGCGAGATGTTACGATGGGGGGAGACGAGGTAAAAGGTTCGCAGGACCACTGTTGTCACAAATGCATGTGAATCTCTAATTATCTCAAAATGAAAAGCTTGATTTAAAAAATCTCTAGTCCTCTTGATCTCTGAGACAATAGTTAGTTTGCATCCTGATTTTTATTCACTTCCACAGCTTCTTGAGGAGGCTTTGAACAGATTTCTAGTGATCAAGATCTAGTTGGGGCCTTGGACATTGTCTCACAGGTTTCTAGGAATCAGATCTAATACATTTGTATACTATTGTTTGAAGTCACCAAAACCTGTAATTTGATCAAGTTTATTTTATTATGGAGCTTAGTCATATCAAAATATTATGGCAGATGTAATGTCTTTCTGTGGACTTAGGGGAAATTGAAATTAGTTGGGGGGTGGTATAGCTATGGTGGTGTATCAAGCAAAACTTGTCCCTTCTGTAAGGTGAACCCTACTGTCTTCAGAGTAACCCCCCTCCACTATTTTAACATTAAAAATTAAGGCCAGAGTATATATTAGAGAGAGGCTTTCATCAGGGAGACATAGCTCCAGGACTCGGGACAAGAAAGGAAAATACTAGGCTTTAGGTGAATCAGAATACTTATTCAAAGAAATTGATTAAGTGGCTCTGTGATAGGAAGTTTGGCTAAGCTGGCATTGCAGACTTGCAGAAAACCGGGAAACAGTGGAGCAGGCTCTGTGTTTGTGTATTATCAGTCATCACATCACTCGTTGACACACTTGTGAGACTGGTCCTTGCATATGGCTCGTCAGTCCTGGTCTTCACTTCCAACCCGGCACTGATAGCCCTTGTGAAACAACCTGACTTACATTGTAAGTGGTGCCTCATAAAGTGCCATTAATTATTTCTCTGGATAAGCTTATTTAAAGGGATTTGATAACAGTGAATATGAATGACCAGTGAGAAGTTAACCTGAATTTCAACCAGAGCTATAAGTTTGGGATTTAGACTTTACAAGGGGGGACCCCAAGAAACCCAAGAATTATCTTTTGGAGGGTGGGACCCTTGTACTACAAGCTCCCCCAACTGGGTAAGTGTTCTAGGAACGCATCTGTATCAGTGTACCAACTGGCATTGTTGTAAGAGGGTGCATTTAGCTTCAGTTAATTTTTTTTGCAAACTCAAGTCATTTGCCCATTTTGCTGTGGGTGATTTATGAGCACACCTGCCTACCCCACGCTGAGTGTTCAGCAGTTTTGACCCAAAATATCATGACCCTTTTGCTCCATTCTCCCTATTCACCAGATCTTACCCAAGTGACTTTTTTGTTTCCCCAATGAAAAAGTCCTCAAAGGGAAACGTTTTGCCCATCTAGAAGAGGTGAAACAAAATATGGCAGAAGCACTAAAAGGCATCAAAATCCCTCAAGAGAGCAGTGCAGTGGGACAGATGGCGCTCTGGAAATCTCTCCCTGTGCCGAGGGGACACCCGACGGGGTCCAGCCGAAGCGTGAAGAGGGAGCAGCCCACAGATCGGGAGGAAGGGGTCGGCATGTGGAAAAGACTGCAGATGGACATGAGCCTGTCTTTCTTTCACACTGAGAGGAAAAGGGGGGCAACCGCAGGGGAGGACTAGCCACCATTTACATGAAAAACATGCATTCTGAATTCCAGGGACTCAGAATGAATTTTGGGAGCTCAGTTTTGTCTCTACTGATGAACCACAGTTTGATTCTTTTTCTTTTATCTTTCGGACCATTCTTTCTTGGTTCTGGGCAACAGAGCAACTCTGTAAGCCCTTTTTCCTTCCTTTTCACTTTTCTTACTCATCAGTTACTAGCCTCACAAATTGAAGTCTTTCTGGAGAATGTCTGCAGGCCCCACGAGTTCATCTGCGTTTCCTGGAACAGTGAGTCCCTTTTCACACCACACCTTCGTTATAATCGAATTTTCTATTTACTCTAGATCCTTGCCGTTACGTTTCTGGATATCCTGTTGAACCTTCTTAAGAATTCAGAGAAACTGTCAGGTGACCACTGAAAAAAGATCTAATCTTAAGGTTTACGTGAGTATTTTCTGCCGTGGCCTTGCTTTAAGACAGATTCAGTTTTGTGATTGAAATGAAAATGTTATCATCAAGCTTATTAAATTTAGGGGTAAGACTAGCAGTTTCTCAAGAGCACAGAGAAACTCACAAAGTACAGTACACTTATTCTTTCTTAAAAAATAGACCCAAAAAAGGCTTTTCTTCTCCCAGTGAGCCAACATTCAAAAGAATCCTAGTCTGCAAACCACAAGAATTCTTACTGTGCTTTAACCAAAAATACCAAGTAAATTGTTTCTCAGAATTTATTCATACACAGTTTAACCAAAACACAGTACTTCTTGAAAAGCACATATGTTGTATTTTATTTTTTTAAAGTTTGTGATAGCTTTGTGTTCTTTAACGATCCAATCCAATGAACGCCATAGGGGAAAATACGGAGATTACCCTCAAAAGAAAACGCTTGACAATTGTACTGAGTCATTTCTTCTCATTGGGTTAATTTCTTTTAAAAGTATTACATAATGTTGTGATCTGAAGTTTGTTTTACCTTGACCTCTGTAGTTCTTAGTTGCCACGTCCTCTTCCAACCATGTTGTCTGACAAGGTCCAGGCATGGAGGATTCGAGTTCAAGGAATTCGTCTCCCCGGAGGAGAACAAATCCAAAATGGGTTATTTTATTTTAATTATTTTACTCTTGCTACTGAATATAGACATTGTACTGTACTTCCTTATTCTGTGAAAATCACCCAAGAGGAAGGGACAGTTCAGGGGAAGACATTAGTATCCCCCACGGAACTGCCTGAAAGGATGGAAAAATCTCCACAGATTCCCCTCTCCCTTATACAGGGGAGTACGACAGCCAGGGTGATATAATTGTTAACCGTAAGGAAAAACATGTCAAGTTGTATAAATTACCCTGGTTTGAGCAACTTAAAGCGATCAGGACTGCCATGGTGTACCAGAAATAAGAAAAACAAGTTAGATCTCTTAAATCAACAGTTAAGACCAGTTAATAAAGAACCAGGTTATTGTTGCAAACACAGGTTGTCCTGCCAGCAGTTGAGGGATTGGAAGAACAGATTAGACAGACTTTCCCATGACTGTTCCTTACCCACAGATACAAAGGGTCTTCCAAGAAAACAAGTAAAAACTATACAGACCCCTACCCACAGCCCAGGGATACGGTCAGGACGGTTGAGATGCAGAGGCAACTGTGGCTGGATTTCCTGTCTCTCTCTCCTTACATGTTTGTTTTGGTGATTAAAAGGTGGTGGCATTGTTAGACACCTGTATTTCAGGTTCATTAATTCTCATAATTCCAATGAAGTTGTACAAAATAATTTCTTGACCAGAGAACAAAATCCCCTCTAATGAAATAGCTCCTGAATGTCTAAAAGTTGTTGGAGTAACAGCTGCTCCTTTACCTTGAACAAGAATATATATTAATTAGAATTAAGCAGGCATAGAAGCAGGAAATGCTTGTTAGATACCACAAACTAAACACATAGAAACAATTACCAAGGAGTAGAGTCCATAGTACATAGAGAAACATTTTGGACAGAAAGATAGACAGCTAAGTTAGACATCACAAAGGCCTTATAATGAATTTCCTAACCTCTGCTTGGTCTAGCGTACCTTTTGTCCCGTGCCAAATTCTAAGACCTTTAATAAACAATAAGACATTCAAACTCTGTACATAGAGCTATTTCAAATTGTCTGATTAATGGCTCTCCTGGTCAAAACAACTTTTGTTTAACATAACTGAAACTATGGAAATTTTTGTATTTTTCCTGGTTACCTTTGTATTGATTTTTTTTGCTTAACTGATCATGCTATGCTGCAAATGTTAATCACTACCTAAAATGAAAATATAAAAACCTGCTTGTACTTGCAGTAAATGGAACAGAGCTTCACTGTCCTTTGAGGCGTGTTGTCGTCTGTGACCCATCGCCAACTCCTTCCCCACCTTCGGGAATCCCTGGGCCCTGCTGCGGCTGGCCCACGGCACTTAGTCACAGGCAGATTTTCCCCATGTTTAGACTTACCCGTAACAGCCCCGTCTCACTCTTTACATCCAGCGGGTCACTAAGTCGAGCTCATTGTACCTCCGTGTCCCCGAGCAGTGTCCCGTCTCTCCTCCACCGCAGCTGCCTGGGGTCAGGCTCTCTGCGTGTCTTGCCTGGGTTTCCACAGTGACATACTGATTGATTTCTCTGTCTCCCACCTCACTTTCCCATGGTGCCTACAGAGCAGTCTTTCTCAAAGGAGAATATATTGAGATCGTGGCATTTTCTTGGGTTAGCACCCCCCAATGACTCATTACTAGAATTCAGGTACAATGAGCCTTAGCACAGAGCCGTTGGGAAGGTGAAATAAAACTCAGTAAGAAGCCCTGGTGCCATGCTGGGCTCAGCGCAGGCCTTGGGTACCTGGTACCTGCTGCTGTTTCCCTTTGCACCAGGAGCCTGGGCAGCAGCAGAACTCGAGTGTAAGGGCGCCCAGGACTGGAGGGGCCACGGCTTTGCTGGGAAGCCAGGCTAAGAGGAGGAGGGGCCCAGAATCTCATCAAACTCCACAGCCTTGCTTTCCTGGCACCCCGAGGTCAGGCCCAAGAGGAGATCGGCCTTGCATCCGGTTCCATTAGCGTCCCAGAGAGGAAGACTTAGGCTGATAAATTACAAGCCATGCTCATCTCTGACTGACTAACCTTCAAGTAACCTTCGAGTGGGAGTCATCGCCATAATAAACACATCAGTCTCTGCCTTCCTGTTTTCTTGTTTTGGTTTGTTTTCTCTTCAGTTTCTTAGTAAAGGTTTGTCAGGTTTTCCCTTATTTTTACATGAACCAAGAGAGGTGTGGGGAGAGAGAGGAAGGCACACAGGGAGACAGTGAGAGAGGCACACAGAAAAAGACGCTCAGAGAGAGAGAGAAGGCGCAGGGACACGAGGAGACCACTGGGGCAGGAAGGTGTCCATGTGGGACATGCGAACACTCTGACTGGTGAGGCTGCGTTACTCGGGTGGATGAGGCATGAGCGTGGACACAGTTGGGATCGCTGCCTTCACCCCACCTCTCTACTCCCAGACAGACCTGGTTTTTCTCACCTCTCCATCTTCGGACCGTGGGAGTTCAGTAAAGTCAGATGTTTAACAGAGCAGAAGAGGATCAATACTGTAAAGAAGATGGGCAATGTGAATTGATTTTGTGATATTTATAATTTTTAAATTAAGTTCGTTGCTTTCCTTAGCTTTTTCTGTTAAAATTAGGAATTTGTGCTATAAACACAGCATTTAGTGGGGCTTTATTGAGTGTTGCTTTGCTGTGTTTAATGCTAATTTAGTTAACTTTTGAGCAGAGATCTCTGTTTACCATGTAGAATGTATCAGATGCGATCAGGAGCAAGTATATGGAGGAATTACTTTGTTTAAATGAGAACATCAGCACTAGCGCATGTGCGTGGGTGGTGCTCTGAAATCTGAGGATTGAGTGTTTATGTTTTCTGACAATGCAGTAAACGTAAATCTAAGCAGTTACAGCTTGCTTAACTCTAAAAATGTCTCAGTATTTTTATATGATGAAAAGCAAAATAAAGCTTTATAGTAATTTAATTGCAATTTTGACCCAGAAGATATGAAGGAACTAAGACATTATAATGGCCAATAAAATGTAATTGGTAACTTGGATGTTGTTTCTGTTTGGTGAGGTACTTTATCAGAGGCCGAAGGCCAGGAAGGACAACAAAAGGTGCTTTCTAAATGACTTTATTGTCTTGGTTCAGTCTGCCTTAGCCAAACCTCACTCGCCTCGTGTTTCATTACAGGCATCCGCCACACCGGAACCATGTCCTACGTTTTTGTAAACGATTCTTCCCAGACCAATGTGCCCTTGCTACAAGCCTGTATTGATGGAGACTTTAACTATTCCAAGAGGCTTTTGGAAAGTGGCTTTGACCCAAACATTCGAGACAGCAGGGGCCGAACAGGCCTTCACCTTGCCGCAGCCCGCGGGAACGTGGACATCTGCCAGTTGTTGCATAAATTTGGTGCTGACCTTCTGGCCACAGATTATCAGGGGAACACAGCTCTTCATCTCTGTGGTCATGTGGATACTATTCAATTCTTAGTTTCCAATGGACTCAAAATTGATATTTGGTAAGTTCTCTTGTGGTTTTTGAAGTCTAGTCATTTCTTCCCATTAGTCTCTCAACCAGTGGGCTAATCTTGGAGTCTGTTGATTTTGTTTTCTCGCTGATCAGTTGTAGCAACGCGGTTAGCAAGGCTTTGAGAACATGGAATCTTGTCGGGGGAGCAAGGGAACAAGGGCTGACTTCTAGGTTCATGCTGAAGCAGTGTCAGTTCTATGAAAACAGGAAAGAATTAAAATTTGTTGAACATCTATTATGTGTTGGGCACTGTGTTTACTTATATTAGCTCATTCAATCCTCAGAATAAATAGTTCTCGCAGTAGCTGTTACCTTCATTCTACAGATGAAATAGTTGAGACAGGAAGGGTTAAATGACTTAACAAAGGTCATGTAGCCAGAATTTGAACCTTGTTCCACCAGATTCCAAAGCTTCTTTGCCTTCAGTCATATGATATTCCATGCTAGCTTCAGATTCTCTGTGGGGCTCAAAATCCTTTTTATCCTGAACACTCTCAAGAAGTGGTTCTCTTTGTTTATTTTAGAGGCACTTTTTCTCTTGAATGGGAGAGATGTCAGGCCACTGTTAAAGCTAAGCTTGACCTTTAAGCTGCAGTTACATGCTGCCCTAATTTATTGGTCCTATACTGTCCCTAACCCTGAATAAGACAGTAAATGCTCCTGTCCCATCAAGACAGTACACGGTGGGGACCGGCTGCAGGGTTTGATGTCAGCTGGGCTCTGTCCCATTGTTAGCGTTAGATAGCTAGGTGAGTCCAAGTAGCTTATTTAGTTGCATTTGAGATTTAAAAAAATTCTTAGACTTTAAAAAATATATAAATATTCTTTCCGTAAAATGTAAATGTCAAAAATGAATCTAGGTATAAAGGACACATGGACAAAAACTAGGGTGGGTGGAAATGGGAGGAAGGTGGGGAGGGCTGGGTGGGTGGCTGGGATGGGAGTAAAAGACAGAAAACTGGACTTGAACAACAATTAAAATAAAATTTAAATAAATAAAATTTAAAAACGTAAAATAAAAATAAATGAATCTAGAATTAGACTTTCCAGTTAATTTCTGGAAAGATGCCCTCTTTTTCTTTTATTTATTCTAATTTATTCACTCTTCTGCCTATATATTTCTTTTCTTTTTCCCTAGAAGGAAAAAAAATAGGTTAATTCAAAATTCAGCTTTCAACTTGACTATTGGTTCAACTTGACTAATTTTAACTTGAGCTTATACCCTCTTCACTGTTTTAGGCACTAACAGTGTAATACAATAAATGACTTACTGTAATGACCTCTTTGTTTTCATAACCTTTTTAAAGCAATCATCAAGGTGCTACACCCTTAGTTCTGGCAAAGCGCAGGGGCGTGAATAAAGATGTCATCCGATTGCTGGAATCTTTGGAAGAACAGGAAGTAAAAGGATTTAACAGAGGAACACACTCAAAACTGGAGACCATGCAGACAGCTGAGAGTGAAAGGTATTTAGGATATAATTTTTTAATGGGCAAGTCACTTTAAGTCCCTGGATCTTTTATGACAACTTCGTGAGCTTTATATTTATTTGCTTGCAAGTACAAAGCTTTGATACTTTCTTTGAACTTCATGTAGGTCCCTATGGCTCCGGATTACACTTGAGAAGCTATTAACAGAAAGTACTACATGCCCGCATGCACATAATGTTCTGTGCAGGAAACTGCTGCATCAGCAGTGCAAGGGAGAAGAGGTGCTTAAGAGCTGAGTGTGGGGGAGCGAAACAGGAGTCTGAGGGTTTTAGTACAGGTCACAAAAGGAATGGGATTTCAAGAAGGGAAAGATAAGTAAGGCTGAGAACTTGGGCAGTATTAGAAAAGACCAAGACGGTAGTTTCGAGGGTACGGAAGCACACTGCTGAGGAATAGAGCCGGAGGAGAGAAAGTAAGACAAGATTTAACACATACTCAATTCAACAGTGTGAAAGTGAAAGTGACTTTTACATGAGTTGGAACGAAATAAAAGTTGGGCGCCTGTAAGTAATTGAGGCTAAGATGCAGTGATTGAGCGAGTCTTAAATCTCCCATCATTTCTCATCTAAAAGCAGTTCAGAACAGAGCTCAGGGAGCTCTGAAAGGTGACAAACCATTTTTACTCCTGGCCTCTGGCTCAACAGATGAAGTCAGCAGGCCAGACTTTGTTGGACTAGCATGGAGTTTCGTGACTGCCACGGAGTGTCAGCCAGATTACACCAGGCAAGGACATCGGCTTCATACAGTCTCACCCCACAGTGGTCAGTGGGTTACATTTCAAGGTCCTCATCAGCTGTTGACCCAGGAGCTGACTGATCAGATTTGGATTGAGGATCCTGTAGACCACCGATACCATCAGGGGCTTTGCTTCCTTGAATTCTCAATGAAACCCTCTCTGTTTTTCCTCGTTCACACTTCAGTTCCTTTGAGCCCATGAGTACTTTCCTTCCTCTTCGTGCGTGTACTGCCTGGGATATTCCTTGGGGACCATTAATTCCACTCTCAAGCCTAGGACTGTTTTGTTTAGATACTTTAAAATATTTATTACTGTCCAAAGATATGAAAGAGTTTTACTTCTAGAACAGAGCATGCTTCCCTGAGTTATCACTGAAAGCTGATAAGTAGATCAAATAAGCAGGAAGTCAAAGATGCATTTGCAAGCCCTATTTCTCTCACCTGTGTGCTTTGGGTCAACTGTCAGAATGCCATAAGCAACCTAATGACATTGTTATCTGTTATTTGTCACAGGTTATGTTCTTCCAAAATACCTCGAAATGTATTTTCATCTTTCTGAACAATAGTAGTAAATTACTTTAAGCTTATTTTATTTTTTTAACATGAGAAATATCCAAGAATGTGCTTTTGTTTATTAGTTATTTTTGAGACATTGCTTGGTATATTTTTTAGGTTAATATATTTTTAAAATTATATTTTATTGATTATGCTATTACAGTTGCCCCAATTTTCTCCCCTTTGACCCCCTCCACACCGCACCCCCTACTCCCTCAGGCGGTCCCCACATCATCATTGATGTCCATGGGTCATGGGTATAAGTTCTTTGGCGACTCCATTTCCTACACTGAACTTTACATCCCCATGGCTACCAATTTGTACTACTTAATCCCTTCACCTCTTCACCCATTCCCCCAAACCCACCTTTCTGGCAACCATCTAAATGTTCTCCATTTCCATGATTCTGTCTCTGTTCTTCTTGTTTGCTTTTTAGGTTCAATTGTTGATAGATTTGTATTTTTTGCCATTTTTTTCTTCATAGTTTTGATCTTCTTTTTCTTAAAAAAAGTCCCTTTAACATTTCATATAATAATGGTTTGGTGGTGATGAACTCCTTTGTTTTTTTTTCTTGTCTGGAAGCTCTTTATCTGTCCTTCGATCAGTTGGATAGAGTAATCTTGGCTGTAGGTCCCTGCTTTTCATGACTTTGAATATTTCTTGCCAATCCCTTCTAGTCTGCAAAGTTTCTTTTGAGAAATCAGCTGACAATCTTATGGGAACTCTCCTGTAGGTAACTAATTTCTCTTGCTGTTTTTAAGATTCTCTCTTTGTATTTAAGCTTTGGCATTTTAATTATGGTATGTCTTGGAGTGGGCCTCTTTACATCTATTTTGTTTGGGACTCTCTGTGCTTCCTGGACTTGTACATCTGTTACTTTCACCAAGTTAGGGAAGTTTTCTTTCCTTATTTTTTCAAATACATTTTAAAATTCTTGGTCTCTCCCCTTTCAGCTCCCCTATGATGTGAATGTTGGAATGCTTGAAGTTGTCCCAGAGTCTGGTTCCACGATCCTCGTTTTTTGGATTTTTCTTTCTTCTTGCTCTTCTTATTGGTTGTTATTTGTTTCCTTATGTTCCAAATCATTGATTTGATTCTCAACTTTGTCCACTCTCCTGTTGATTCCTTGTAAATTGTTCTTTATTTCAATTAGTGTATCCTTTGTTTCTGACTGGGTCTTTTTTATGCTGTGGAGGTCCTCACTAAGTTTCTTGAGCATCCTTATAACCTGTGTTTTGAACCATGCATCTGATGCATTACTTATCTCCATTTTATTTAGCTTCTTTTTGGAGTTTTGTTCTGTTCTTTCATTTGGGCCATGTTTCTTTGTCTCCTCATTTTGGCAGTCTCCCTGTGTTTCTTGCTATGTGTTAGGTAGAGCTACTATATCTCCCAGGCTCGATAGAATGGCTTAATGTAATAGGTGTCCTGTAGGGTCCAGGGCCCAGACTCCCTCATTACCCAAGCTGGGTACTCAAGGTGTGCCCACTGTGTGGGCTGTGTATACCCTCCTCTCATAATTGAGCCTTGATTGTTGTTGGTGCATCCAAGCTAGCCACCACCTATGTTCTGTCTGGGGTCACGTCATTATCTACAAAGCAATCTGCAGATGGCTGCTGTTTGTGCTGGGCTTGGAGGTGCCCAGGAGAGACCAAGCTGTGAATGAAGGCCAGCTGCTGCTAGCATTGGGCCTGGGGCCACTTAGCTAGAGTATGGGGCTTGCTGAAGCCAGATGCCACTTGTTTGAGAGAATTTAGGAAAATCCAAAGCATCAGCCAAGACAAGCCATTCATTCATATGGAAAATCACTGGAAACAGCTTGGTTGAGCTGGAAAATTGGGTGGGGCAGAGCCTCAGGAAATCACCAGGTGGGGCAGTGTGAGCCAGGTTGATGGAGTCTCAGATACTGTTTTTGCCTACTGGCTCTGTGACTCTGTGGGGGGAGGGCTCAGTGAAAGAAGAATGGCCTTCTCTAGTATTTCTGTCTGGGAGAAAGTGGCCCTTCCAGGTCTCACCCTTATGTCAGACAATTAATTTTTCTCCCCAATTGTTTCTGATGCCTTTCAATCTGCTGCCCTGGTACCGAAGCTCAGGGGGAGTGAGTCCTAATACATCCATGTGTGAGCCCTTTAACAGGACTGCCTGGAATTCCAGTAGTTTCTGTCTTCTGCAATCTCAATCTCCACTGGTTTTTACAGCCAGAATTTATGGAGTCTTAACCTTCTTGCACTGGAAATCTGGGCTGGGTGCCCGGTGTGGGGCTGGGACCTCTCATCCTGAGATATTCCTCCCATTTTTATCTGCCACTTGTGGGTATGGGGCCAGCCCATTCCACACCTCCCCCTCCTGCCAGTCTGTGTGGTTTCTTCTTTAATTCTGTAGTTGTAGGACTTCCATTCAGTTCAATTTCTGATGGTTCTGAATGTTGGTCGTTCTGTAGTTCAGTTGCATTTTTGATGCAGGTGTTGCATAATTTTTTAAAGAGTCTGTATAAATCAAATTAGTGAAAAATACTTTCCCAATCTCTCATAATCCTAAATTTAATTTAGTTCCTTTGTACTTTATAGGTACAAGGTAACTAAGACAGTGTAGATGACAATGTGCAAAAAAACTACACGTGCACACTCACGCTGCCACGCTGTTAGAATCGGGTGCTCTGGGCCGCAGCAAACATCTCTCATTGAGCAGAGTCACTCTAGAAAATTCTGAATGCAAAGTGTCATGAATCCTGGACAGCTCAAGTGACTTCTCATTTTACATGTAACGTCTGTGAGGATGAAAGCATGTCAGCTCAGGCATAGTCAGGTTTTACATCAGAATTAACTTTGACCTTCTTTATCTACTTACGGTTTTGTGTGTTTAAACCTCAGCATTCTCATCTTGAACACACCTCAGTTTCCTAAATTTTTGTATTGTTGTAGGTTCCCACTGAAAACGTCTTCTTGTATTCAGTTTCCTAAATTTTTGTATTGTTGTAGGTTCCCACTGAAAACGTCTTCTTGTATTCAGAAAATAAATGTCTTTAATATGAAAAGAAAAATTTGAGTGTGAAGCATACGGGCCCATTCGGAAGTCAGCTTTTCATGATAAGAGAAGAACTCTAATATTAGTAAAGGCTGATTAGGAAAGGACCTCTAGTTTACAGTGTCAAGAAGTAAACTAAAGCTCTAGGTTTTAGAAAACTGCTGATTTTTATATAGTGAACCAGACTCTAAGACATCGTTTTACGCTGTTTGCTTTGTTCTGTAGCTAGATAGTTGGAAAAATATGAAGAGAAAGTGTTTAGGAAAAGTAGAACTTTTTCTAAGCAATAGATGGTTGATACATGTGATTATGCTCATGGTGGCTTTAATCTAAATGACAGCCTGCTGCTGGGCCAGCGGTGTGACACTGTCATGGGTGTTGATCCCTTTAAGCTGTGAATTCATCACAGTGCAGGCCTTCTGGGACCGAATCAGATACACTGTTTTCTGCTGACGGCAGTCAGCGTTCTCCCTGCCAGGGTTCTGAAAACCAGAATCGGTGGTGTGACGGTGTTCGTGTTACCTTATTTCAGCCAGGCTCAGCCTTTGTGCAGAAGAGAAATAAACTTTTTCTATATCATTGTACAAGATAGAACTACAGCCATTGGGAAGAAACTAATAAAAAGAATTTCTAATGAGTAGACTTGTTCAAATGTACAACAGAGTTAGCTTCCATTATTAAAGGATTACAGTTAAAAGAAGGAATTCTTTCATTGATCATATTATTAAACTAAAAATAACCCCTTTTAAGATTCACATACTGTATTAAATGATTTTTTAGATTTGCCCCTTATTTTTTTTTAACAAGAATTCTCAAATTATGAGTCTTTGTTTTGAATTCTTCTAAATTTAAAATAACCAAATGTGTTTTGGTTTAGTATCTGATGGAAACAACTCATTTGACCAACTTCAAGGTTCGTGGCTGGGACTTTTTTATTAGAAAAGGACTTTTAACTTTGATTCTTCTAGATACAAAACCAAGAAGCACAATTATTATATCGGTTACAATCTGAGGCAGATTGTCCAGATACACACATCAGTACAGAGTGTGTGAGAGTGTATACAAATGTCACTTCTCTTCTTGTGACGACTGTGTCGTAAAGTTGCTCTTTTCTGAATAATATAGTTCCTGTTGTTTTATGTTTTTAAAAATGGGTGCAGTGCGTTGCTTCTTGCCCACTTACTTTCTCTTTGCTTCTTTCACAGTGCCATGGAGAGCCACTCTCTCCTCAACCCCAACCTGCAGCAAGGTGAAGGGGTCCTGTCCAGCTTCCGAACCACGTGGCAGGAGTTTGTAGAGGACCTGGGCTTCTGGAGGGTTTTGCTCTTGATCTTCGTCATTGCTCTGCTGTCTCTGGGCATTGCCTACTACGTGAGTGGGGTGCTGCCGTTCGTGGAAAACCAGCCTGAACTGGTGCATTGAAGGAGCTCGCGGAGGGCGAGGCGTGTGCGTGTTTCCTGGCTTCCAGTGTTTCTCAGTTTCTCAAGCTTGTTCGAGTGCAAGGCAGTGAGGGCTGTACATGGTTTTCTTTTTGCAGTTTTACATATTGTAATCCTCTTAGAATGACATGTTCATCTGAACTAACTACTTAGCGTAGTCGAGTATACTGCATCCCAAAGCTACCTCTAACTCAACGGGACTTCTTAGCAACGCAGCCTTGTTTGATAAAAACATGGAAATGACTACAGAAAGAAAGATAAAGGAAGTCCTTGCTAAAGAAACCTTACCCTCATACAGGACCAACTAAAGCAAAGTGTTCAAAAAGAAAATTTTAGGTTTTCTTTTCTGATTGGTTTTGGTTGGTGATTTTGTTTTGTTCTTATTTGTTTATTTTTGCAAGAGCATCTTTTCTCTTTTTATTTACAGTCTCTGAGAATAGACAAGAGAGCGAAACATTCAGCTTAAAACTTGAAGTGCTTCTTTTTTCACATCCTGCGTAGTAAATCAGTATTGTTGGAATGCCTTTGGTTTATTTTAACACTTTCAAGTCTAGTCACAAACCAAGTAGAACTTTTGAAAGTGAGCTATATTTTATTCAAAAATGATAGGTTTGATCTTATATTTATTTGTTTTAGAATAGTGTTTTGTAAACCGCTTTTGTAAACCGCTTTACTTGTTAATATCTATTAACAAGAAACGAAGACTTCATCTTGTTCACTTTTTCATTTCCCTTTGTGTTTATTTCAAAGGTGGTCTGTTCATAAAAAATATAGTCAGAAAGCTTTTTCTACTCAGTAGTTAGCAGGAGAAGTATTCTGCTGTGTGACTGTCACCGTAGCTTTGTGACGCTGTTGTCATAGTGAACGGTTCAGTTTCACACGCCTGCCGTGTTGTCACAGTTGTGTCATAGTTGCTTTGCTTTGTGTGCAACCCTGTTAGAGTTCCTGTAGAGTCATCATGATTTCATCCACGTCAGTTACTGTCTGACAGCAAGACGGACGGAGTATTTCCGAGTTAATAGTGCTCAACATAATTGTGCTGGGTGTCATAAATGCTTTATGAATGGTTATGTTATTTAAATTGAAGTCTGGTGACCAAACTGTATTGCAGCATTCAGCAGTATGTTTTGTTGATGATTCTGTTATGCATAAATCATATTCTTAGGTTATTAAAAAGGAATATTAAGACTTGATAGTTATTCATTGGGAATAGTCAGAAAACTGTAATGAAAGAATAGTAATACCTTTTAGAACAAAGACATCTAAGCTACTGCTAATTGAGTTGTTGCTAGAATTAGAATTTACAGTTTAGAGTAGAATTGGTATTTCTGTGATTCTTGTTGCTTCTTGTAATTCTCTCTTTTATATTTCCACATTTAGGATTGAGGTGGCTTTATCCTCTCTTAAACAGCTGTTTGAAAGTCCTGATTTACCTGGCTGCTTCTATATCAGCTCACAGAGTCTTGCTTTTAGGTTAGACATAAATAAAATAAATCTTACTTGGTGTAAATACAGAAAAAACAGTGGATTTTAGAATGGAAAACACTATAATACTAGAAATCAAAGTATATTTAGAATGAAAGCTGTGGAATTAGGTTTACATTTGGTTGTAAATCTAAACAGATAAGTAAAATTGATTAAACTTATGTACATATTTTGCATTTTTTAAGATGTTTCCTTTTAAGTTCTGATTTCTTTGTGTCTGTTCTCTGCATTCAGGATTCAGAAACAGCACCAATAAATGTATTTGTAATCTCTTAGTCACAATCCATTTTTGTAGTGTATTATTGTTTTTCTTTCAATTTAAGGTTTAAAAAAAAAAACCAGGTTGCAGTTGGCTGTGTAAAAAACTAAGAGTTTTGCTCTGGCTGGCCTAGCTCAGTGGATTGAGCACAGGCCTGTGAACCAAAGGATCTTGGTTTGATTCCCAGTCAGGGCACATGCCTGGGTTGCAGGCCGGTTCCCAGCAGGGGACACATGAGAGGCAACCACACATTGATATTTCTCTCCCTTTCTCCTTCCCTTCCCCTCTAAAGGTAAATAAATAAAAATCTTTTAAAAAACCTAAGTTTTTTTCCCCCAAATCTAGTTTAATAGGCATATCAAGTTTATATGTTTTCCTCATAATTGCTCTGAAACTAATTTGGGTGAATTGCTTAGGGATTTGAAAGTGATAATGACTACAGTGATTAACCGCCTCGCAATTATCCAAGTCGTTTGACCTGCGGCGTTTCATTCATCCTCCAGCGCCCTCCCAGTCACTGCACCTCCCGTTTTTTACAAGATGAGGGAGGCCACACGGGAGGGAGGGATAAGCGGCTTGTCCAGGGCCAAACCGCTGGGACGTAGTGGAACAGGTCGTCCAGACTGAGGCTCTCTCCCCAACTATGAGTTTGCTCTTTTTGATCCCCTCACTGTCTGTCATGAATCTGGCAGTGGAACCATCGAGAACCTCTCCTGCTGCCATCTCAGCAGCATGTTACTAAAATGTCCTGTTCCTAAATACTTATCTTTTCCTCTTTCTATGATGTGCCATTTCCCCACATCCTCCCGGTATTATTAACCTTTAAAATTGGAGCTCAGACCCCTGGCAGGATAAGGAAAGCCTCCCTGGTAACCACAGCTAACTGCCCCCTTCTGTACCCCTACCCTTACCTTGTTGTCTACCGTGCTCGGCACGTGCTGTGTTTTTCACTTGTCTCTTTCACAGTAAGTTCGTGAGAGCAGGAACTTAGCCCCGTTTTACTGCCCTGTCTGTCCACAGTGCTTCCCGTAGGTCTCTTTGTGCACAAGGACTAACAGCATGACTTTGTTACCCATAGCTTCAATTTTTGTCTTCAGATGAAATAGCTTTTACCTGTCACATGTTTCCTTCAACATGCTGCATGTGTGAACTCTGCTAGTCATTCTTCCACCACACGTCTGCCACCTGATGGAAGAACTCTGTAGTCTTGTCCTGTGTGGCTCCTTTACTTGATGGTGTGAGGCTTTAGACCAGCACGCGGCTGCTTTTCCCACTCAGCGTGCAAGCCCTGGGTCAGTCGTCAGCTGCTGCCGCGGCTGTTTTAACAGGCCTCTGCCTCTGACTTGTGAAATTACGTGTATGTCAAAGGGCTTTCAGCTGCAAGAAACCCAAATCCAAATTCCAAGCAGCTTAAACCATACAAGTTTATCGATGTATGTAACTGGAAGTCCAGAGGTAGAGCAGACCCCAAAGATGACACAGGGCAAATTTAGCTGAGCTCTTCTGTGCTTTCGGTTCGTGGGCCTTCTCCTTCAGCTAGTTTTGAAGGAGCCCAGGATTTTCAGGCCTCACTACCATTTGTAACTATGGAAGGAGGAGAAAGAGACCATCTTCCCTGTTGTTCTCTCCTAGGAAACTCCTTCGAAGCCTCCAGCAAACTTCTTTTATCTTTCCTTGCAGCCAACATTACTTCACGTTTCCTATTCTCAACCCAACCAATGTCCCGTGCTAGTTGATTAGGCCTGGACTGATCAACCAATCATCGTCACGGCTGCAGCTGACATGTGTAATCTGATTGGCTTGGCCCCAGGGTTTCAGCCGGGATGAGGCACCGCCATGGTCAGTGGGCAGGTGCCACCGATGATTATGTTCCACAGCATGTGGGACTGGTGAGCGCAACAAAGAATCGCTCCACACTCCACAGACTTCTTGAATGCTCTGCTAAACATTCAGATGGGGTAAAAAAAAAAACACAAGAAACTTTTACTTTTCTAAGCCTAAAACCCAACTTCATTTTATATTTTAAAACAAAGTATTTTTATACAGTTGTCACATACACTGAATTTTCCAACAATACAATCATGAGATAATTGAGGGACGATTCCACTTTATTTTGTTCAAAACTTGACTAGAAAGTGTACTTGTTTCAAAAAATCTTAATGACAGGACACTACGGATGACAGCTGAGTGTGACCGATAGTAAAACAGTGTCACTGTGGACAGGTACCGATGACAGCTGAGTGTGACCGACAGCACAAACAACATCCCGCCGTGGAACAGATGCTGATGACTTCATTGTTTCCTCTCGTGCGGCTGTCTAAGCATTAACAGGTTATAACACACACTTTCTTATCAACTACTCTCCCTTTGTTTTGCCTTTATGTTATGTGATTTATATGGAATTGTTCTATTGATTTCAGCAATTGTTACTTTTGTCTGGGACTCATATTCAGTCATCCTGGGGTGACTTTTCCAAACAGTTGATGCACCTTTCTCACAGTGGCCTGGGGGAGAGAAGAGGCCGGCACCTGGGTGAACCACCCTTTAAAGTTGTTCAGGCTGAAACCACTGCGGTGGTGTTGGATGAATTAGAACTCGGGGGTCAAGTCCGTTCCTTTGTGCTCTGAAGTAGATTCAGAAGGATTTTCTAGGGAGGACCTTGGCCCTCCCGCAGACACGTGTCGGCGTCCCTCAACACAGGTGAGATTGGCATGCTGTTTGGTCATGCCTGCTTGGACTTTGCACGCCACAGATGGACAGCTCCGCTGTCCAGGCCACAAGGGCGTGCCTTCTCCTAGCAACAGAGGCTTGACCACACTCCACTTACTCCGGGAATACAGCCTGGAGTTCCTTATCTGATATCCATCAGAGGTTCGGCTGATAACAATATTTAGAGAGTATTACTTGGAAAAAGCTTTAGATCAGCATCATCCAATCTAGCTTTCTACAATGATGGAAAATTTCTGCATGTGGGCTGCCCAGTGTGGTAGCCACTTGGCACTTGTAGCTATTTAAATTGATTAAATTAGAAATTCAGTTCATTAGCACAGTTATCTGAGCCTAAAATCTTACTTCAGTTTACATTCTAAAACAAAATTAGCCACCTTTCTAGTGTTCAGTAGCCGCAAGAGGCCATTGTTTGGGACAGCACAGATATGTACCATTCATTTCCACAGAAAGTTCTTCTGTGCAGCAGTGTTTGAAAGTCTGCCTTGGGCTCTGGTCCCTACTACTGTCAGGTCAGTAGAGAGCTACATAATGAACCGTATTTTGCAGTGCCCACCCCAGTGCTTTTACTGCTCTCTCTTACTAATAAAGTGGTAACACTACACAGTGCTGATCACCTCACTTAACCTTTGCAAATTGCTACTGTTATCCACACCTCACAGTTAGGGAAACTGAGGCACCTGAGGTGGTTGGAATCACATGCCCAAGGTCACATAGCTGGTCAGTGCAGAGCTGGGATGTGAACTCAGGCAGTGTGGAATGAAGTCTCTTCCTCTACCCATCGTGCTGTGCTGCATCTGCTTGGCGGTGACGTGGTCGTGTTGAAGTGAGGACTCACACTGTGAGCCCAGCCGCTGCGCCTAGTCTAAGGAAAGTTACTGAGCCCACTCTTGGCACAATTGTTCTTGATGAAGAGTCGCTGAGGAGGAACGTTAAGCTTCTTACAACCACACACAGCTACCTTTCTGCTGAGCTTTACTTTCATCTTCTGTCTCTATGAATTATGTAACTGATGAGGAGAATTCCTTTCACGATGGATGCTGAAAAGCCTAATGCCAAATTTGGGTTTTAGCAGAAGCAGCTGCAGTTGAGGTCATTATGGTGATTTATTAGAACCTCACTCCTGGTTTGTTTTGTATCCTTGTCTTTAGTTTTATTTTCTTATTCTAAATGTTCACTTTTATTTATGCTATTCTGTATTCCTTAAGCTCCCTTAAATTATTTTTGCATTGTAATGGGGAGTGGACCTTGAGACAGTTATTAGCATGAATTGCAAGGACTACCACAGATACCTATCCAGTCCTGGACGCCAAGAGCAGAAAATGCATTGACCTTTCGCAGTTGGAAACAATACCTTGCTGCCTCCTGTTCGAAACGCAGTTATGGTTTCTGGCAGACCCGCGGTTGTCAGTTTACCTTACTTATGTCTGTTTGTTTCAAACAGGACTCAGTTCAGCTGAATAAGCAAGTATTATTCTAAACTTTGGAAATCAAATGTCGTAGGTTTTTCTAGCATTCTCATGAATCACTTGAGCGAAGCCTGATAAATGAACATTAACAAGTTATTACAATAACAGAATTATAGAGACGGAGGGACATTAGAAGTCACCCAGGAAGGGGGAAAAGGCAGTCTCACACATAACGAAGGGGCAGAACAGCTGTGTGAACCCTGACATGGTCTACTAGGCTCACCTCTGCCGCACTGCCTGTCACTCACAGGTCTCTCCCCACCCCGCCCACCCATCGGTTATTGTAAACGCTATTTTCAGGTACTCGTAGCTTGTGTTAGATACATAAACACAAACTTTCTTGCCATTGTGTTCTGTGCACTTCAACAGTTAACCAAAACGCTGCCTGCTCACTAAGCTGACACTCTCATAAACTGCAGATGTTATTTTTCTGTGACCCCAATCTCCATTTGCTTATGAATGGGAGGATCACTACAAACCTATCACCTTCCCTCGATACACGTCGTTAGTGAGAAGTCTTTTCAATTCTCAGAAACAATTTGCATGAAACACACATTCCCCGTAAAGCACCCTACACCACCCAGACGCTGTCAGGAAGCCAAGCAGAAGGTTCCCCAGTTTCCATGGCAGGAGTGGTGGTACATTTTCATGGTCCGTCACGCTGCTTTTTCTTATTAGCACAGCTATTTCTTCAATCCCATTGTCCTTTCATTTAAGTTAGGAGATTAACGGTTACAGGACCCTTTGTAAACCTAAGACCCGGAGTTATGAAATGCCCTGCTGGACGGTGGCTAACAAGGCCATTCCCTGCCTGGGCCGCTAGTGTC